AGCCTAAATGTCCATCAACGGATAAATAGATAAAGAAAATGTGATTTTATTTAGATATTTCAGCCTTAAAAAAGGATGTGTTGCCATTTGCAACAACGTGGGTAGACCTCGAGGACATTATCGTAAGTGAACTAAGTCAGACAGAAAAAGACAAATGGTGTGTGGTCTCATTTATGTCGAACCAGAAACCGTTGACCTCAGAGAAACCCCCGGTGGTTGTCAGGGGCTGAAGGGCGTGGAGAATTGGAGAAATGCTGGTCAGAGGGTAGAGATTTTCAGTCCTAAGACACGTAAGTCCCAGGAATCTAATGTATAGCATGGGAGTACAGGTAACACAACCGTATGTATTCCCAAAGGTTGCTGTGAGAGTAGGGCCTTAATGTTCTCAGATAAAACAAAACAAAAATAACAAACGAACAGTTATGTGAGGTAAAGGCTACGTGAGCTAACCTTACTGTGGTAAACATTTTACAATATGTGCATTTATGAAATCTCATTGCGCACTTCAAACTTTCATCATGTTATATGTCAACTGTATCGCGACAAAGCTGGAAAAAAAATATAATTTTAACTGCAGTTATCTAATTCCTTGCTCTTCATCTTTTCCCCGTAATAGCATATATAGAAAATGATATTTACGCAGATACGGTAAACTTGGGTAAGCAAAGGAGACTCCATTCTTCCTGAGCACCATGGAGAGGGGGCAGGAAGGATGGGTAGACAGAGAGGTGGGAAATTGTATCTTTTTCAATGTTCGCCTCTGATCACAGAAAGTATCGTTATTCATAGATAAGACCAGAACTTGAGCTACCTAATGTCCTAATTACAAATGCTCCATTTATTTATCTTGCCATATTTCTCAGTCCTGGAGTCTTCAGATATATGCAGTAGATTTTCTACTGAAAATGTAGTTTTAAAATGCGTTAGCACGATTCGGGGTAGCAGTTAGCAGTAATGGGTTTAATGGAGGGGGAAACCCACTTCTCTTTCCACCAACTTTAGATCAGTAAATCATGTCTGTAACCACTTCTCTTTAAATTCTCTTTCCGTCACAGATGACGGACAGAGACCTCAAGCCCTGACTAAACCTACCAGTGTTTTCTTGCGCTTAGGCAGTTGGACGAGGATGGGGAAGTACCCCAGTATTGCCATTCAATACTGAGTTGGAAACCCACCTAACTGAACACTCAATAGTGCTTGAAACAGCCATGTACCTCCTTGAGCCTCTGCAGCCCTCCTAGCAGAGAACCTTTCTCCCACTACGCAGAAAATAATTGCAGTTTTTATGCAAAACATTTATCTTTGCACCACAAGCTCTAAAATCTTGGATTCAAAGCCTTTCTCCTTTTCCTGCAACAGAGGAAAACACTCGCCGACCTCTCGCCAGGCTCGTCCCGATCGCTGCCCACCGCAGACTCTGCTTGCCTCCCCAGGGATAGCCTGCCCCGTCTCACCCTGCTCCCCGCTGGGCCAGCATCTTCCTTGTCTTGTGCATCCGCCTCTGAGAAAAAAGAACACGCCCATAGCCTCTCTCCCCTCCTTCCACGTTTGCGCTCTGCCCTGGGGCCTTTCGTAAATAAGTCGCCTCCCTGCCCTCCGCCTCTCTTTTGTCCTTGTCTTCTTCAACCTGCCCTCTCCTTTCCTGCTTTACACGTTGCCAGTTCCGGCCAGCGCCTTGCTTACTGTTTTGCCACATGTGTTTGAGAATTGTTTAGACACATTCCCTCCCCTGGACTCTCACAGCACACACACTGGCCGTATTTTTGTGCGCCCCTGGTTGTTTTCCCTCACGTGGTTGACTTGGCACCTGCTGTAGCTGTTTTTCCCGCAATGTCTTGGGTACATTTTAGGCTCCGTAGTCTGGCTCTGCCTCTCCAGGTTTATTCCTCAACCTTCTCTCTCCTACTCTACATTCTAGATCTATTGTTTTTCTTTTTTTCAGTTGCTAAAATATATTCTGCTTTCTTTTCACTTCTAAGTCTTCAGGTGTGGTGTTTCTCCGGTCTGGAATGTTCTCCCTGCCCACACTACAGCGGAGTTGTCCTTGGTCTGACCTGAGTGGTAGTTTTCAGACACCATACTTTTCTGAACGGTTCAGCGGCCCTAGATTAGAGGAGGCTTCCTCACGTTGTCCTGTAGTATCCTGTCCTTTTAATATAACACACATTAGATTTTACTGCATCGTATGTTTAGATGCGTTTCTCGTCTATAAATTGTAGGGGCCCTATTTTGTTCCGTTCACCACGATATCTCCATTGGTGAAAGAATAAAAATTCCACATTTTCTTTAACAAGTCTTGCTCGTTTGTATTCAAGAGACATCACCCTTCATTCATTAGGAACATTTTTGAAGTTCTTCAGCAAGTGAATTTTCAAGTTGAGTTCAAGTCTCCCCCCCTTGTTTGCACCAACACTTTGCACAATAACTAGATAGCTCTTTGGCGTTTTGCTCCAGTCAGCCGTGCGGCTGACTCGCTGACAGGAGGGAGGACAGAAGCCCGGCGTGGCTCAGCGTCACTGGCCGCCACGGCTCTGGCCATGCTCCCGCCTTCCGCCTGTGGCCAGCATCGCCTCGACCTCACGGGCCAGGTCAGATCTGGTCTCTGGAAAGCAGTCCCCAGGGAGCAGAAAGTTCAGCCCTTGTGCATTAATCTGAGAGTCAGGCTATTTTTTGCAGAGCCTTTGTGCCTCGTCCTTCCCGGAACATGTGAAAAGTTGCCAGCAAGATGGGTCAGATGCGGTGACAGCCCAACAACACGGGCAGTCACTGAGTTAGTCCTTTTCAACATACGGACGCCCATGATTGTACTAGACTTTTGGGTGCCGAAGTGTGAAACTCATTTAACGAAAAGAAACGGAATTGGTTATTTTCCACTGAGGGATTGAAGCAATAGGTGCTCTTTTTGTGTATCCACTTGTCCTTTTGGGAAAGAGCCACTGGTGCAGAAATCCTGAGCAGCACAGCCCGGGGGATGGGGGCAAAGGCGCCCCGGGCCGGCGCTGCGGACGGTGGGGCCGGCTGGTAGGGCTGTGCAGGGGGCAAGCGTCCTGGTTGTAGGACAGAGTGTGAAAAACCTGTCACAGACATTTTCTCAAACGGTCGCTGTGAAATTGAGGCGGTTCCAGAGGGATGGTTCCCATCTTCACGATGAAGCTCTGTAGCTCCATCAGTCTTGAGAAAGGACTCGTCTGCAGTTCCTCTCGCTGATGCATTTACTTGGCCATCAGTTGTTACATGAATGTGTCAAGGTAATGCATTTCGTTTAATATTTCATAAAGATTCCATCAGACACTTTTGTTTTGTGAGATTCAAGTCTCAGTGACTACCATTCTGGTGAAACTGCTGCATGAACGTACACCCAGATACGTGTATATATTTCAATATAATCTTTAACAGGACATGAACGTCTGCGTGTTTTTAGATGATCTGTAGCCCCTGTCACGTTCATTGTAGAGAGTGCACACTCTGTGTTCTATGGAAGCGTAGTCATTTAATATCATCTTCGTAGATTTGTAATGCATGACTCCTGTATGTTTTAAATGATTTCTTATTTATATTTAGCCTTTTATTTTTATTTTAAATATTTATTTATTAATTTTTTCAGAGAGAGGGGAGGGGAGGGAGGAAAAGGGGGGAAACATCGATCGGTTGCCTGTTGCACGCCCCCTGACGGGACCCGGCCTGCCACCCAGGCCTGTGCCCTGGCTGGGAAGCGAGACGCTGGACTTTTGATTTGCAGGATGACGCCCAGGCCGCTGAGCCACAACAGCCAGGCCAAGCCTTTTTATTTATTTTTTTAAAATATGTAAAAAAAGTCAACTGTAGAAAGCATGCTTTCTTTTTAGGTTAAAATATATGAAAAAAAAATTTTTGACCTTCAATAATAAAACAGGAGGAGCCCGCTCATGGTAAAAATGTTGATGGGTAATTATTGAGTCCTGGAATTAAAGACTTAAAATGATGCACTCTTAGGATTTATTTTTAAGGAGTAGTATGGAATTGTGGGAATAATGACCTAGGGGTGAAATTTTCCAGTGCCCACGTACATAAAATGGTATCTTTGATCTGCTGAATTCTTTCCCTTGGAGGAGACTTCAAATCCTGTCATATTGCTTGTGCTTGTTACTTATGTTGTCTTGGGCTTTCAAAGGCTCTTTCAGAAGTTTTATTATCCATTGTACTCTATTCTTTTAAAGCACATTTACAGTGCTTAGAAAGAAGTTTATTTTTGACAGAATTAAAAAAATGTATATGTGCAAAATATTTATTAATGCTAATTAACAGGACTTCTTTTATTATATTAAAGTAGAAGAGAGGTATTATGAAACTAATGAAAACCTAGTGGGAATAGTTATAAAACAACATTGATTTTTACATATGATTAACGAGACATATTACAAAAATTTCTCTGAAGTGTCCTGAAAATATCAATTACATTTTAAATAAGCTTGTTGCCTTATACCTACCAAGATATCTATTGTTTTTAAAAATGCTTTATAGGGTTGCAAGCCTGGGATTTCAGATGTGAACTTTGATAGAAAGCAAACATTATTACAGTGTTAGGATTTTAAATGGAAATTTAAGGTCATATATTTGGTCTAGTCTCTGAGGGCTATAATATTTTTGATTATATATTTACCACATTTATGTTTTACTTTTCAAATCAAAACCAATATGCTAATGCAGTTAAATCTGAAAATTTATATTTCATAATCTTTAAAATGCAAGTATACAAATAAAAACTGTGTTGCTCAAAGAAATAATGATTTTTAATAATCTATGTTATTTTATTTCTTCCTATTCCCAAGGTCATTGAGAGTCTTAAAAGATAAGACTATTTATTTAATTTTGATCCTCATCCACTGTAAATGTGTAAAGAAAAACTTAAAAATTATTTAAAATGTAGGTTTGACAATTTTAAGGGTACTTTAATAACTGCTGCTATAGAAGTGTTTTTTGTTTTTTGCCTCTGTTTAATGTCATGTATCAATTATTTACAGATCCGGTGGTTTTGTGGAAGTTCCCAGAGGACTTTGGAGACCAGGTTGGAATCACATACTTTTTAAAAGATGTTAAAATTAGAGGATTATGATTACTATTCTGTTACTGCTGCTACTACTACACATAAGTTACTATAAGTATTTTCTGTTGATCAGCTCAGGGAAGAAAAGCCACATGTGCAGAATATGTGTGGAAAGTCTTTGGCAGTCACCTAGTACGTGGGCGATGAGAAAGCCCTTAGAATGAAACTAATAGGAACCGAATATTAAGTTTTATCATCGTTTCACACTGTTAAAAACCTATCAGTGGAATATATATTTGGAAACATTTAAATTTTTGTCCATCAGAAAGAACTGACTATACCATACATTGTTGAATACCCACCTATTATTTCTCTCAGAAGTCACTAGTAACTGCGGTGAACGAGTGGCCTGTTCTCTCCTGTTACAGTAATATCTGAGTCATTTACCTCTGTACATTGAATTGACAATATTTCTTTATTTTTAAATAATTCTCACCTATAGCTTTATTTTCTTAAAAGAAAATGAGAGACTTTGGAATGAGTTATTCTGCTGTATTTTGAATTCCAGCCTTCTACAGTTCCTTAAGCATTTGGCCAAACTGCATTTGGGCAAACACCATGGCAAAATAATGTGAACATTTATATTTTAGATTAAAAAATTTATATTATAGGTTTATCATTTTGAGGTGAATTATATATGGTTAAAAATACAAATTTAAATTTAAATAGAAATTAGCACTTTTTATGGAAAACGATGAGCACGTTCCTTTAGTTGTCTGCAAAGAAATGAGTTAAACCATCCTGGTCACTGTTAAAATTATACAATTATGAAACTACAAACTTAACCATAAGTCAATTTGCAGATATAACTTTCATACTTATCGTAATTTACAAAAATGAAAGCTGATAAAAGGCTTTGTTTAAAGAGGTTCGTTGAGAAACCATTGTACAAACACATGAGTGAGATATGTGGAGGATATTTCTTCATGTGAAATCAGCTTGTAAGACCAGGAAATTGCCCCCAAAATGCAGGAGCTCGGGCATGTGGAGTGTCGGCTGGGTCCAGCGCACTGCGAGACTGTTGTTCCACCTGAGAGGATGGTGTGCACCCTTAATTTTTAGCCCTTTAGAGAAAGAACAGATTTATAAATATCTCAAGTATATAAAAGAAGTCTCTACAGTGAAGACATGGTTTGGACCTACGATGCTTAACCGGGTTTGTCCCCAAGTCGTGCGTAGTAGGTTGAAGTCTTATGGACTCATTTACCATTCTTAAATACCGTTCTTCTCTTGGTCTTCTGAATTCTCTCTTGTCCACTGACCCAAGAACGAAGCTCCTGACCAGGTCTGTGTGTGTGGTTTCCCGAGAATTCCTAGAGTCCAGGAGCCCCTTGACCTTGTTTCACATAAGGGTGGCAGTGTTCCTGGGTGAGTTCAGCCGCAGCGGATTTCTCAGGGAGACCAACTCCGCTGTTCCTCTTGTGAGTGATAAACTGGTAATAGGAATTTCTTAGTCGGGGCTGAATCGTTGCTTTGTTTTCCGTATTTGTGAGCTCAGTGGAACATTAATAAGCCCTCACATACTTAGTAAAATACTAAAGCAATTAACCACGTAATGGTGAGGGACCCTTATAACCCCTGGGATTCCAGCGCATAGCTGTTCCTACCGACCTTCCAAAGGTTAGAGCGAAAGAAGTTTTAGATTCCACTCTGTCTAATGACTTGACTTTATGTCCAAAGAAACCAAACTTTATATGGGAATCTAGCCAGGGGCTTTGAAGAATGGTTGTGTTGTGTGCTTCTTGGTGGCTCTTCCAAGTGCGGCAGATGACACAGTGCCCTCCGTGTATCCCTCCTTCTTCGCCTTCCCGCTGCCCCATGCCAACGCCTGCGTCCTCTCCAGGAGCCCTCCCCCGGGGCCCGGGACTGCCTCAGCGATGATAACTCCCCCAGACCTGCGCCTCTAGCTCGTGCCGTGTGCGGAGCACAGTGTGCACGGTTCATTTTATCTCCAAATTCTCCCAGCACCCACAGCCTCATCCCCCAAACGGAGTAAGAACCTTGCCTGGGACGGCAGGTTTGTCCAACTCAAAGGCACGAGCCGTTAACAGCTGAGCTCTGCTGTCGTTTCTGCTTGCAATTTTAATCTACATCCTGCTCCCTTATTTGCGCCCTTGAAACATTCGTCATGATAGCTTTTTCCTCAGTCTTTATCATTTGCGAGCCGTGCGTTACTTAATCCAGAGAGATGACATCAGCCCCCTCGGGTTTTGTCTCTGTCAGTCAGTCCCCACAGCACAGTCACAATGGTCTACAAGACAATAGAGGGGTCTCTCGGGAGACGCTCTCCTGCTACAGTTGGTTCCTTCCGATGGCGGTCGGCCCCCTGCGCGCCCCTAGTGGCCCCCTTGGCCTGCCCAGGGGCCCTTGAGTTCGGGGACCACTGCAGCCTGTGTTTGACGGAACTGCGGAGTGTGGCTTGGCGCGGCCGCAGTCACTCAGCTGGGAAGGAGCAGAGCACTGGGCCAAGCCGGAGGCCGTGACTCCGGGGCCCCTGGTCCACAGAAGGACTCTCCCCGACTCAGGACTCCCGTCGGCGCCGTGAGCGCACAGCTCGACCTCCTCCGCAGGATCGAGTCCCTTGTTTCAAGTCCTCTGTTTACACCTTTAGCCTCGGTTTCTCTCTCTGCCTTTTTTCTCTATTAAAATGGGGCCCATGTTTCGCAGTGAACATTCATTCCCATTATATACCATTCATTTACATTCTCACTTTGAACGTGCGGCCTCTCCGTCTGAAATGCTAATCTGTTTGCACTCGCCCCTGCCTGTCTTTCTGTCTTGGCCTAAAGGTCACTTCCTCCAAGAAGCCTTTTTTATGTCACAAGTCTGGCTTGAATGGACCTCCTGGGAGTTCCCTCCGCATTTTATGTTTCCCGCATTATGGCGCCTATTAGATCTTCCGTCCCTTTACTTTCTGTTTATCTCGCTAGACTGAGTGTCGCTGGGACAGTATTAAGGCATAATTTTAAAAGAAGATAAAATTATGACTCTAATACAAATACGTGGAAGATTTTATTTTTGTTGAAGATTTTTTTTAACTTGTTCATTGATGAGGATACCAGTAAAGAGTCCCCCAATGCTATGGACACATCAGGACGCTGCGACAAACGTACCAATAGGAGTAAAGAGGCTTCTGCACGTGGGGGATGAAGGAGGAGGGACGTCGGTCGCCCCTCCATGAGACATGTCTGTGACGGATACATTTGCAGCTACTGTTTGTCTATGCTCAGAGCCACGCAGCAGTGACAGGTGATGAAGGCGCAGAGCCCTCGGAAGACTGTGCCGGGTGGTGGCTCTTTCCCGTTGAAGGACACTCTGTCCTCTTTGGGTCCATTTTGCTCTTGCCAAGTCTTCCTTATAGTCTTCCTCCTGCTCTTGAGGAATCATAATGCCTCAAAGATTGTTCCAGGCAACGAAAATAAAATAGCTTGGGCTGCTTATTTCTGTAGGTGCAGCAAGAGGGTTAATATACCCTATGACCCTCCGTATCTGGAGCCACGTGGCGCCGAGCAATTGCTCTGTCTACAAAATAATGTCCGTCCGGACACTTTCATAAGGAATTTCAGAGTACGCTGCTGAAAAGCCCCCGTGGCGTGTTATCCTAAAGCGAGGAAACCAGGCCCAAGACACTGTCTTTCCCAGACTTCTTCCCTCCTCAAGGTTCCCGGGCTCGGCCGAGGTCCCCTGCCGACGAGGACCGGCCTTTCCCAGCACCTGCTGGGGCCACAGTCGGGGGGCCGGGGCTCAGGCAGGGCTCCTGGGGGCCCTTGCGGTTCCCAGCAGGAGCACTCGGTTTCACGCCTCCCCGTGTCTTGACGTGGCTCAGGAAGCAAGAGCCATTCTCAGATACGACACCTGAAGTAAGGCCTGGGTGGTATAATCAGTTCCATGTTGGTAAAATGAAAGATTTTTTTAAAAAAAAAAATGGGACTGATGCAAGTATATTTTCTTTTAATGATTTTAAAAGGGATATGGCCAGAATGAATCAAGCCTTTCATGATTTGAAATAGAGGTCGATGGATAGGTGGACATTTAAAATGTTTTCTTGTATCAGTTGTAAAGAAAATCTATATTATTTGAAAATAATTTATTAAATCTAATATTTTCAAAATGTTGAAACAAGTTATGGATATATGTTTTTAGAAAGTGTGGTTTTTGTTTTTTGTTTTTTGCCCATTCGGACTTGATTCTGTCATTTTTAACTACAAGTTGATCCCATCACACACAGGAAAAAAAAAATAACTTAACTGTATCCTATACCAACTATTGTTTTTCCAAATGAAAAGACTTCAATTTCTTGAACCAGTTTTTGAGGTGTGGTCATTAATTTTTCTTTCACTACCTCTATGAGACTATACATTATATAAAACATTATATATACATTATAAAGTATATATACATTATATATATTTCTAAGACACTGATTTTTCATTTTTAATGAAATAAAATTTTGAGAAATGGTAGTATAAGAGAATGATAATCATATCATGACTGCATGTTTTGTTTCATATTCAAATATTTTCTCGGTGATTTATCTTAATAACTCTAAAATACCCATTATTTCTTATCAGTTCGTTTTAGATAGAGTGGTATCTTTGTCGTACATTTTTGTGTCTACAAATGAAGAATCAGAATAAAACATTGTATTGCAAGCATGTGGAAAGTGCTTAAAGTTACATCAACGATTGTCATATTTTTCTCTGTCCGTCTTTCTGTATGCAGACAAGATTTGTTTCTTTTATAGATGCAGCATTAGGAAGTGCGAGGCAAAATGTGATTACATTCTTACTTCATCTGCGTGCTGTCTCATATTTACTACTTTTAAAATTTAAAAATGTTACTGCAAACAGGGATATTTGGAAAAAAGTGATATTTTAGAAATTTTGCTCGTTTAGAAATTTTATTGGAAGACAGAACTGTGCGGTGTGGCAAACTCCTTTTGAAAAGAATATTTTCACATA